TGAAAAACAAATATGTTAATGCCATAAATATCGTATGTCTAAAAAACATTTCTTAGGACAATTGCATGAAAAACAAAACAATGGTTGAAAAATTGTATCTTTTCATAATAAACTGAAATATATTAGTTTAAAAGTTGCATCTTTCATTATAAAAATAATTGTGTATTTTTTATAAAAAAAAATTGTTGAAAGGTTGTATTTTTTCATAAGAACCGAATTATATTAGTTTAAAACTTGCATCTTTTTGTTATAAATAGAATTGTCTAGTTTCATAAAAAGTTATCTATTATTTTAAAAGTTTCATCTTTTCATTATTAAGAAAAGTTTATGTTTCAGATAAAATAGTTTAAAAGTATTTAAAAGAGGGTATAAGAATTGTGTCTTCTCAAAATAACAATTGTTGAAAGGTTGTATCTTTTCATAAAAAAAAACTTAAATATATTAGTTTAAACATTGCATCTTTTCATTATAAAAATAATTGTGTATTTAAAAAAAATCTATTATTTTTAAAGTTGCATAAAATTTTTATTTGGACCATTAGATGAAAAACAATACAATTGTTGAAAGGTTGTATCTTTTCATAAGAACTGAAACATATTAGTTTCAAAGTTGCATCTTTTCATTATAAAAAATATTGTGTCTCACAAAAAATAATTTAAAAATATTTAAAATAGTTATAAGAGTTGTGTCTTCTCATAATAAAAATCAACTAATTATAACAATCTTGATTAATTTCAAAGGTTGTGAATGCCGAATAAAAAGAAAATTGAGACTCTTAATAAAAATGTCTATTAGTGTGAAAGGTTGAAAATACAAAATAAAATGAAAAGTTGTGTCTATTTAAAGAACTGAAATATATTAGTTTTAAAGGTTGTGTATCTTTTCATAAGAACTGAAATATATTAGTTTAAAAGTTGCATCTTTTTATTATAAATAGAATTNAAAGTATAATATGTGTTTGAAAATGTATAAATTTAAATGTTATGTGTTTAGCATAACAATATTAAGTAAACTTTAATATTAAAGTCGCAGTCATTTTCTTTTATCTTTTTATATATGAGAAGACAAACTTTTAAATTTGTTGAAATGATGGAACAGTTTAAACCTTTTAATTAAATAATATAATATGTTTTAATACACTGTAATTAACATGCAAAGAACGACATTTTTAAATCTATGACGCTCAGTACCTCCATACACACTGGGTTAGAAAAACAAAAAAAAATTGGACTTTATCAGAAGAAGAATAAGAGATTACAAAAAAAAAGGCTGTTTTCTTACAGCCAGATTGGTTTGGATATGGTAATTTAGTTTCGCTGAAACTAAACCTATTAAATTATTTTTGCAGACACCACATTAAATTTTTAAAGATCTTTTAAAACTATATAATGAATCAAACATTATATTCAAGAGTACTAAGAATCATATCTATATTAGAAAAAAAAACACATAAATTTTCTTAAAAAATTGCATCTGTAAAACATTCTATTTATAGTAATCTGAAAAGGTACATTGATAGATTATCAAGAGTTGTGTTTTGTTTTAAAATGAATATTTTCAAGAGTTGTGAGGAAAAAAAAGTTCAACCAAATACATTTTCAGGACCATTAGATAGAACCATAATAATTACAACCACGAGACTGAAACTCTTCAAAAAATTTTTAAAAAATCAAGAATTAGGGAAAAGTATGACTCTTCAAATTAAAGAGATGTGTTGTTTGAAAAAAAATAACTGCTCATAGCAATTTTAATTTAAGTATAAAAAAAATATTAAGACCAATAGAAGAAAAAAAAATTATAACCAAAGATTGTAATCCTTCAAATATGAAAAAGTATGACTCTTTCATGTAAAAAGATGTGTTGTTTGAAAAACAAATATGTTAATGCCATAAATATCGTATGTCTAAAAAACATTTCTTAGGACAATTGCATGAAAAACAAAACAATGGTTGAAAAATTGTATCTTTTCATAATAAACTGAAATATATTAGTTTAAAAGTTGCATCTTTCATTATAAAAATAATTGTGTATTTTTTATAAAAAAAAATTGTTGAAAGGTTGTAT